CTGATAAAGATTAGGGTATGTTTGCTTTCTTTTTCATCACTTTATGGCTTATTTGCTTCTGTCCTGGATTCAGAGCTGGGTAACCCTCAGCTTCCAGGAACCAGAGCCATGAGAGGTGTGGGTGTGGTGCAGTGGGACAAGCACGGGCTTTGAGGTCAGTTCACACCTGGTAGTCGTTTATCCCTGCATGACCTTAACCACATGACTCAATTTCTGAACCGCAGTGTCACTTCCTCTGCCACCCAGGCCAGCTTGGAGGCTGCTGGTGACCTCTGGGTTTTATACTCTTGGTATTGTTAATGAAGAATTCATTGTTTGAGGATTTACAACGTTCCCATGAGCAGCCCCCTTGCTCACTGCAGTAGAAAACCTTACTAGAAAGCCAGACCTGGATTTGAATCTTGGTTTCAATTACTTGACCTGAACCTTGGTTTTCTCATCTGAAAAATTGGGACTATAATGCCCAACAGGGTTGCTGAGGATTATATTAATGAGATTATGTTTATAAACAAAGTGACCATCATTTAACAAATATTAGTTTCTCTTCCATTAAAAATATCTACATGTTGGGCCTCTAATCAACTAAATCTTCCTCATGCCTGCCTCTGTCTTTCCATTGTTTTATGACCTCAACAATCTAGATGCGAGTGGGAAAGTCCAAACTGCTCTAGAGTCAAGAGAGATGAAGACAGGGTTCTGGGCTTCCTTTTTCAAAAAAGTCAGATAAGAAAATAGAAGATGAATTTGGTCTTTTAAACAAACCAATGGTGAAACTTTGCTTCCTTTATTTTAGCAGCAGTGGTGGCCACATTTAGGAGGGATTAGAGAGATTCAGGAAGGGTGGTGAACCAATGTAATTCTTCAGAATGTCTTGGGACAAAACGTAAAACCCAGAAACCATAAGTATTTTGACAACAGAAAAATTAACACTTCTGCATGGCAAAAATGCCATGAACAAAATTAAAAGACAAACATCCAACTAGAAGAAAATAATTGCAAACATACAACCAACGAAACTATTTTCCTTAATATACGAAGAGCTCTTTTAGGTTACTAAGAAAATAATGGATTTTTTTAAAAAAAGGCAAAAGACATGTATAGAAAAATAACAGAAAAAGAAATTCAAAAGACCGGTCAATAATTCCAAATGGCTAACCTCACACATAAGAAAGAAACCAAGTTTAAAAAATGAGATACCACTTTGACCGAGAAGGCCGGCAAAGATTAATTGCTATGTAGCATGGGACACTGGGGAGAGCAAGACTCATCAGTTGGTTTATGTGGAAATTGGCAAGAATTTTTAGGAAGATAATTTGGCAATATCTTCCATATTAAAAATACACTTCCTTAGAACCAGTGACTCAAACCCTTTTCTTGGAATGTGTTAGTTAACAGCCTCTTCTCTCTTGATAAAATAAGAACACCAAAGAAACACTAATAGTGGTTACTTTCAGGGAGTCGAGAAGAAAAGAGATGATTGCTTTTTATTTTTTCCACTTTCGTACTCTTTCGTCTTTTAAAAATCAAATGTTTCTATTTTGTTATTTTTAAAAAGTTAGGGGGCTGGCCCAGTGGCGCAGCGGTTAAGTGCACATGCTCCGCTGCGGCGGCCCGGGGTTCGCCAGTTCGGATTCTGGGCGTGCACCAACGTACTGCTTGTCAAGCCATGCTGTCGTGGCGTCCCATATGAAGTAGAGGAAGATGGGCACAGATCTTAGCCCAGGGCCAATCATCCTCAGCAAAAAAGAGGAGGATTGGCATTGGATGTTAGCTCAGGGCTGATCTTCCTCACCAAAAAAAACCAAAGTTAAAATCGTTTTCCAGACATAACAGCATGCTTAACAATAAAAGAACCTTACCTCTGACCTGACAGTCTCATATATAAATCTCACAGTTGACACTCAAACATTTTGTTTAACAAATGAACCATCAATGAGCAAATGCAATATGAGATGTTTTCTTAATAGATCGCCTCAAATACCAACCATGATCATTTAACAGGATGATCTCTCTGGACCTTGCTGCGTCCTCTGCCACGTGGCTGTGTACTTTCTTAAGAAACTTGCTATTGGCATCTTTTCCTGCCCCAGAGCCTTGCTCCTGCCCATCCAGTCTGACTGTCCCAGGCCCACAGCGATCCTCCTTCACTCCCCATCACGCACTCTCTGCTCTGGGCTTCTGGAATGTCCCGGAAGGTTCACAGTGGAGGTAGGACTTGAGCCAGGAGTAGGAGTCGGGGTAGGTAGGGATTGGAGGGGCTGAGAAGAACTAGGAGAGGAGCTACATTATCAAACAAAAGAATAATAACAGTGATGACAGCGCCACTTATTGACGGCTCACTATGTCCCTCTATGTTCACATGTAACATGTTTTGTATTTCATGTAAGCCTCGCAACCCCTGGGAGAAGTCAGCATTATGAGCCCTGTTCTACAGGTGAGGTGACATGCCACACAGGTAGTGAAACAGCTGAGCTGGAATTCAAGACGAAGCCTGCCCACACATCTCTAAGGTCCAACCCTTAGCCGCTGTTCTCTGAGGGCCTCTCATACATGGTGAGGAGGTGGGCATTAGGAGAGGGGCCCATCCACTGTGCCAATGGGTCACCTTGGGATTTAGCTCCAGAAGTCATAGCACTGGGCCTGCCTCAGATTTTGGACTCTGGAAGGAATATGGTCCTTGGCTGTGGTAGCTGTGATCATGTGTGTTGGTGGAGGGGGCTGCCGGGGAGAAGGGATGCAAAGGAATGTCTGTTCTGGCAGAGCCTGAAAAGAAAGCAAGAGTTGACATTCCTTCTTGGGAACAGAATTATCAGCAGTACTTTATTATGTGTGCTTTCATCAGAAAATGCTGCAAAACCACCATTCTTGATGAAACTGTGACCTTCCAGTGAATCCAGCTGGGCTGCCCTTGAATCATGACCAGCCAGGGGCAGCCTCGGCCGCCTCAAACTCTTGTGGCTGCCCATTCAGCAGATGGCACGTATCCTGGGCTGATGCAGGCAGTTCGTCTGTGATTTTCCTTTTCGTTCCCCATGACAACCACCACATAGCTTTTCCTGCATTCTGACTGAGGTCCCACTACCAGGGGAGGCCCAGAACTGGAGTGCCTGGAAAAGTCGCCCATGGCCACGAGAGAGGCAGAATCACCCTAGACGGGGTTGAGGTTGCCCTAGCTATCTAACAACCGTAGCTGTTGGGGGCAGGGGGACTCCAGTGCCAGGGAGGGAACGGAAAATTAGTACCCCTGAGGAGGAATGCTGAAGTCATTGGAGCAGATTCCAATGGCTTTTCTTGGACAGGTTTCTGCAGTCTCCCCCGGTGATGTTGATTTTACTTTTCAGTCCAAGAAGCATCCCTAACACTGGGCCTGGGAGACTCAAGTGTGGGCGTTGGGCAGTGTTTGCCGAGAGGCTGGATGGAAAGTTTCTAGTACTTATTGAGCGTGTCCTAAGTTCTTGGCACTGCTGGGTGCTTGAGGCCCACTGTCTCCTTTTCCCCTCATAACAACCACATGAGGTATGGCTTCCCTGTTTCATAGACGAGGCAGCTGAGGCTCAGAGGCTCAGGAACTTGCCAGGAACAAAAAGTGGCTGGAGTTCTGACATGGGTAATGTGGGCTTCAGAGCCAGTCTCCGTATATTGTTACCACCAGACTACGGTTGTGTGGAGGCAAGTTTCTGTGGAATCTAGGGTGGAGGATGTCCACCCCAAGTTGCCCCTCTGGACTGTAGAGGCTGTGGGTAGTGTCCTCAAGTTGCTGGGCAGATGTAGCTTTTCTTAGGGCCAAACAGTTATTGCTGCTGAAGGGACCTGGGCATGGAATAAACCCTTGTTGGTTCATTTAGTCAGAGCATTTCTCTGACCCTCCAAGCCATTCCGCCTTAGTTCAGTGGCAGTCTCCCATTGGGAAAGGGGCCCAGTGTTGACACACATGCCGATAAGTGAACCCTCCAGGAAATACCCTGTATCTTTTGAGAAGGTGTGTGGCAAGGCAGTGGAAGACTGGTAGAGCCATTACTGGTGGAGCCTTTACTAGTTGAGAAGGCTGCCGAGGGAGTGAGCCCACCTCCTCCCCCAGCACTTGCCTGCCCCGCCAGCCCCCAGCCCTAGCTCTGGCCTCTGCGCCTCTTCAGCACTTTCATTCTATGCCACACAATGGAGCATGTCCCTGCAGCCAGCTGTATTATTGTCTAGAATCTGGATGTTTCCTATCTGCACTGCTGGTTTCCTGGAGGGAAGGGACTGTGACTTCCTGGTGACACCTGAAGATCTTGACCCACTTGTGTCTGTGGAGTCTTCTTCTCCCTCGTCTGACCCAGCTCTGTGGCTTGTCTGAGTGGGACAGCTGAGTGGCCTGACTCTTGTCTTACGTACTCTTGGGTTAGCATTCTCTCACATTTGGATAAGCCTGGGTTCTTTTTGGGGGGCACCTGCTTGGCTTATTTGCTAGGCCTCTTAAATTATACCCATTTGGACCCCATTCCACTCCATCACATGACCCTCTCCTCCTGCCATGGGACATTGCCATCACGGTTTGCAAACATTAAGAAGTAAATTGTATGGGCATCACAATGTGGCAGAAGGCCCAGGGGCTGACAGGCCTGTAGCAGTTTGAAAGGTGTCCTGGGGGCACGAAGAAGAAAACTGAGGTGTAGACTCCTGGCTCAGGGCTTGATGGCCCCGTGAGCACGATGGGGACTTGGCTGAAAGCCCTTGGGAAGTACTCAGCTCTCGTGAGGGGCTGGACACCCCATCATTGGATGTGAAACTGTCTCATTGTTTATGTGACTTCTAAAAGTAATATAAAAGCGCTTGGCATTAAGAAAAAGAATCAGATGATACATAAATGTGTGTGGGAAAAGGTAAGACCCGCTGGCCACCCTGTCACCCAGAGACGACCAGTGTCTATGGAGGGACTCATGGGTTTTAAGTCTTGGTCTCTGTGAAGCAGTTTGATCTTGTCTTTCCCAAACTAATAGTGGCCCTTCCTCTCTCTGCAGAACACGGAGAGTTCCTGGCTCTGGACCTTGGAGGGACCAACTTCCGTGTGCTTCGGGTCAGAGTAACAGACAATGGGCTCCAGAAGGTTGAGATGGAGAACCAGATCTACGCCATCCCCGAGGACATCATGCAAGGCAGTGGCACCCAGGTATGACCCTTCTCTCAGGGTGGCCACTGGGGCTCTGGGCCCCACAGGAGCAGGATGCTGCTCCTTCTCTGTGGTCTAGAGGGAGGAGACCCTGACTGAGGCTCGGATTTCTTGGCCTTTCTTTGCAGGTTGATCCACTCCCCATGCCTGGAGGCTAAATGGGGGGCCCTCCAACAGGAGAGGTGCACATGGGCCGGAGAGCAAGGAGTGTGTGTGTGAGAACCGGGGTCTGGATGTGCTATAGTAGGAGGTGTTTTGATTTGCCATCTCTTTTGAGGTCTGCTTACATGCGCTGGTTATTGAGGAAAGCCTGCTGTCAGGAGGCTGGGCCCACACTCCTGGACACCTGTGTTTGTTAGTGGTGCCTTTGAGTGGTGAGTCACGATTGTGGTTTGACACCACCACCTGCCACTGTGGTCATTCTGCAGGCCTCTTTGACTCACAGTTGTTACCACAGCATTGCATGCAAATGGAACCTGCCCCTGTGCCTTTATTTGCTTTCTCTCTTCTTGACCGTCTGAAACAGAAGAGGTTTTGCACATGGGGATGGGAGCCTGTTGAGAAAATATCAAAATCCAGCTTTGGGGTGTCTGTCCCTTTTGGCACTGCAATGGGCATGATGTGCTTCCACATTGGCCTCAAATCATGCTTAGTCATCCCTATATCTCCCTGGCTTCTAGAGCTGTGTTTTATACTCAGCAACTACACAATAAAAGGAGTGGATAGGGAAGAAATGTGAAATCCAAGTGAGAGTCCTCTCAGTAATAGTCAGAAAAAAATGAGCAAGGCTGGAACTGCCATCGCGATAGTCTCCAAACCTGTATTGAGCATCTGCTATGCATTGGGCACTGATCTTTGCTGGGAATCAAAGTCCTGGTCCTTCGCGTCCGGGGCTTAAAGCCCAGCTGGACCAACAGGACATACATACCCCCCACAGAAAGTAATAAATGTTGTGTTGAAGCAGATAGCGACCATCAGGAGGAGGAACTGACGTGATGACCTCATGTATGTCAGGCTCAGCAAAAGCACTTTGTATGGATTTCCTCATTTTATCCTCACATTAAGAAGCTGGGTGCTCCTGTTATCTCCACGTTATAGGTGTGGAATTGGGCTTTGAATGATTGAGTGACTTGGCCTTAGATCACAGGGGTGGGAGGGGCCAGAGGCAAGACACAGAGCCAGATTGACGTGATTAGATCCTGTGTTTGCAAACTCTAGGGGGCTCCATCCACTTTGTAGGCCGTGTGATGTGGTCCACATGTGTGGTGTTTCCTGGAATTGGGCAACATGGTGGTCCTGGGTCCTGACTACTTGCTCCTGCTTCCAGAGAAGCAGGCACTCCCTGAAGGGACTGGTGCTCATGCAGACATGAAATCTTGTGGAGGAGACCCTCTGGGGGCTCTCCCTCTCAAGAGTTCCCCCAGGAGAGCCCTCATGCAGGTGGGGCACTCACTGCCACCACACCACAGGTCCAGCCATTATTCTCTGCTCTTGGTTGTCCAGGGAAGCTGGTAGCCCCTTTCACCTGCTCTACAAAAACCTTCCTTGGGATGTTCTTTCTGCTTCTTCTTCAGCTGCTCTCAGCCCATGGATAGGAATCACTGAAGACATTCTGGGATACTAACACAGCAATAGGGATCACTCTTGGCTTGAGCGCTGCCTATTCCTGCTGTATTTTATGCCCAGCATGTTCGCAATAAAAGAGTGAATGGAAGATAAACAAATGCATGGATAAGGAGAACAGATTAGTGGTTACAGAGGGGAAGAGGGTAGAGGGGGTGGGCGAAAGGGGTAAAGGGGCACATATGTATGATGACAGATAGAAAATAGACTATTGGTGGTGAGCATGATGCAGTCTATACAGAAACTGATATATGATAATGTACACCTGAAATTACACAATGTTGTAAACCAATATGACCTGAATAAAATAATTTTTTAAAAAATGGAGAAAATGAAATGCAAGTAAGATGCTCTTCCAACGTGGGCACCTCGTGGGCCTTGGGCTTGGAGGAGGTGGAGCCTTCACACTCCTGGTGCACCGTTCTTTACACCACACCAGGCCACCTTCTGGGAAAGGAATTTCGGACCATGGGTAGAACGTGTGGGGGAGATATTTTTAGACCCTTTAAATGTCTTTGGGGGCAGCCCTGAGGATCAACCTGCTTTCCTTGTTTTAATGTTGTGGTTGGACAAGGGAGACTGAGTCCCTGGGACCGTGGGATTTTAGCTCTATTGAGGTTGTCACATAGCTTCAGTGTACATAAACAAAATGTTTTAGTCCAAATTAAAAAAAAAAAATCAAGGGCAGCCCCTTGGCTTGGTGGTTGGGTTCACTGTGCTCCGCTTTAATGGCCTGGGTTCACCTGGCTTCGGATCCCAGGCACAGACCCAGACCACTTGTCAGCCATGCTGTGGCAGCAGCCCACATACAAAATAGAGGAAGATTGGCACAGATGTTAGCTCAGGGAGAATCTTCCTCAAGCAAAAAAATAGAAAGATTGACAATAGATGTTAGCTCAGGGAGAATCTTCCTCAAGAACAAGAAAAATCTGTGAGACCCACCTGGAAGAAACTACAAAACTATTGTGATGTTAAAAAGGTTTCAAATAAATGGAAAAATGCTATATAAAAATGAAACATTAAAAAACTGGAAAAAATATAGGCATTTATTTCACCCTAAGGAAGAGAAAGAATACTATATGCCTAAAAGCAGCAGAAAACAATTGGTAAAAGATTAGAAGGAAATTCATAGTGGCTTTTTTAGTGGTGGAATTACTGGTGTTTTTTCCCCATATATATTTGATCTTAGGTATCAATATGTTAATTGTAAGAAAACAAATAGATTTTAAAAATAAAATTTAGTTAAAACAGAGACCAAATCACCAAACCCAACACTTGCAAAGCTTTCTGAAGATCTGTGAACCTGGCAGTGTCTCCCTGGATGAAATCTGTCTTCTAGCACATGAACTTCACTTAAGAGCAGTGAATTACAAGTTATAATAGCAGCCACTTAAGATTTGTAAAGTGTATCTTGTGGGAAGGGGAGCGAGCAGATTTTCACCAGTAAGGAAAAGGAATCCTTTCTAACTTCATAAAACGGTGCCCTTTGAGCCTCTTTATGGCAGGAAGGTGTTAACTCTTTCTCCCAGTATCTTATCCTTAGATCATCAGCTAACAGAAGAGGAGATAGTCTTCCAATTAAGGAAGCAGATGGTCTCCTCTTCCCCACTTTAAAAAAGGTGTAAGTTCTTCTAACCCAGCACTGTCCAATAGAACTCTCCACAATGGCAGAACTGTTCTTTGTTTGCCCTCTGCAATATGGTAGCCGCTAGCTACCTGTGGCATCGAGCACTTGAAATGTGGCTAATGTGACTGAGGAAGTGACTTTTTAATTTTTTAAAATTCCAATTAATTGAAATAGCCACAGAAGGCTAGTGGCTACTGTATTGGGCAATACATTATTTAATGCCTCTTCACTGCCTCCCCTTTTTTTCTGCCTCCTGTTGGCAGCGCTATTGGAAAGGGAGCAGTGATCAGGACTGGGTGAGGGGAAACCATTTTGCTTTCCCCCCTTCTAAAGCTTCCCTTCCCCCCATCTCTGATGTTTGGCCTTATCTCTTTGCACAGCTTCTGCAACTTTCTTTTTTTTGGATAAAAACTGTTTGTACTAACAAAAATGTACAACCCAAAATTTCACAATGTTAGAAACCATTAAAACATCAATTAAAAAAAAAAAAAAAAGAAAAAAAACTGTTTGTACTAAACATCATTTTGACTAGAGTACCAGGAAGAAGGTGCTGGGAATTTGTTTTGACCATACCGTAAATTTTGTCTCTGATCAAATTCCCAACAGAAAAACAGAATTTGCTGAATATCTGTCTAGAAACCCTATTTCATATTAAAATGCTTGACCTCTGCTCAAGGGAGTTGGCACTTGTGTATTGGTGGTCTTTTAGTGAGAGAGTCTGGTCCTTGCCCAGCCTTGGCTCTTGAGAATGTTTTGGTTTGGAGAGCGAGAGTTTCAGCATCAGCTGAGGTTAATTGTGCACATGATCAGACAGAGGGCCAGGACCGAGGCAGGAGGTTCAGTTGGAGCTGGCCACCTTCTTGATGGGGGTGGCCTGGATCCCTCCTAATGAACATACCCCAGACATCTGGGGAGCCAGTGGGCCTTTCAGCCTACCCTGCCACATCCAACCTCTCAGTTCCTTTGTAAATGCAAGTACTTTTTGTGGTTTAGTGGAGTGGTTCTCAATCCACTGCTTCTGGATCACCTGGAGGCCCCCACTCCCACAGTTTCAGAGTCAACAGGTTTGGTCTGGGGCTCTAGAATTTGCATTTATAACATGATGATGGTGATGCTGCTAGTTCAGGACCACACTTTGGGAACCCAAAAGTTTTAGTGGAATCTTCCTTGCTTCTGCCTGGAGAGGAAAAGGAATGTGGTTCTCCTCTATCTCCCTTGGCTTTTAGATTTTGCCATCTGGTCAACCTGGCCCTTGTACTCTGCTCACTCTTTGGCCTCTGCTTACTTTTTGCACCAGAATGGCCCTGGCCTCAGCCTCTAAGCATCTGGAGGGATCACCACCTTCTCTTTGAGGATGTTGAGTGGGCAAGAAGGAAGCCATGGGGCTGTGGGCTTTGGGACTGATTGAAAGCCTGGATGAGTGTGACTACAGCTTTTCCTTAGGCTTAGGGTTTTTCTTAGGAGCTGCAGGTCCTGCTTAGCATGGTCACAGTTGTGAGGCTGCCCATCCACAAAACCCTATTTATTCTTCAGTGCTCTTCTTGGACTCACTGGGTGTTGCATTTTGAAATTAGAAAACAAAGATAACTTCTTTGAATTGTTTTTCAGTTAAACAAAGACATTAGTTTTCTAGAATGGAGGAAAAATATAAAAGTTACTTATTTTTGTTGAATTCATTCATAGAGTGCCAACAGAAAATGTCCCACCCACTTCCCCAATCACAAGAGGCAGGAATGCTAAAATACTTCTTGGCAGTAAGATGGGCTGCCCTTTCTGGTAAGATAATCAGCTGTGCATTCATGTCAAAGGATGTTCTGTTCCCAGGGCATGCGATGACTTTCTGATTAGCTTTGGCTATGATTATCCCTGCCTCATGGTGTTATTTTGACAGCGGTTGGATAAATGGTTTAAGTGGAAGACAGTATTTAATAAGCACTAACTGATGTTAAGCCCTTATATTTATTGATTCATATAAACCTTTGGTAACTCTGAGGGCAGGAAAGTTATCACCCCCATGTTATAGATGAGCAAATTAAGACTTCAGATGCTCTTAATATCTATGCATTCTGCCTCCCTGCTCACCTTCCTGTGTTATGTATCCTTAGCTGTTTGACCACATTGCCGGATGCCTGGCCAACTTCATGGATAAGCTACAAATCAAAGACAAGAAGCTCCCCTTGGGTTTTACCTTCTCATTCCCCTGCATCCAAACAAAACTAGACGAGGTAAGATGAGTTCTTCAGACACTTTCGTTACTTCATTCTTTGGGCTGGGAGGACTGGAAAGAACTCTGAACCACCTGCTACTGTGGTGTTGGAGGCAGCCCTGATGGACTGCATGGACGATGTTTGAGTACTGAGAGTTCTGTCCTTCTGGGTGAGTGTATGTCAGTGTAGGGGGAGGTGAGGAAGTACCAGAGAAGGGGGATCTTTATCACCCTCCCCTCAAAGGATGATGTGCAACCCCACATACATTGCATGTTATCCAGGAATGAGAAATTAGTTAGGAACTCCTTTGATCTAAGTGTTATGATAATGATCCTTGGAGAAAAGATGCCTGGGGAGTTAATGATGTGAGTATACAAATAGCTTATTTTGGCAGTTCTATAGCCTGCTCTTTCCACTTCTTGGGGATAGTAAATCATGAAGGAATCATTCATTGAATCTCCTTTCTTGGTCTTTGACAGGCCCAAATTTTTCCTTCCTAGGCTCCTCAAGAAACAGTACACAAGTTCAATCATGACTTGAGTTTATCCCCATGGCAGAGGTCTCCTAATGATGATTGTATGTGGAATGTGGTCTGAGTTTTGTGAGGAATTCATGTTCATTCCTTGGTCCTTTTCCAGAGTTACCTGGTCTCGTGGACCAAGGGGTTCAAGTCCAGGGGTGTGGAAGGGAGAGACGTGGTCACTCTGATCCGGAAGGCCATCCAGAGGAGAGGGGTGAGTGGGGGCAGCAGGGATGGGAAGACGGGAGCCTGAGGTCTGGAGGCTCTTTACATTCTTTTGGGTCCAATCTGAAGTTTTTCCCTGACTGTCCTCAAATCAGCACAAGAATCTTTCGTGGTTCTTAAGGAGAGGTTTTCTTTTCTTTTTCTCTGCTAGGTTTACCCAATAATCTTTATTTTTTATTTTTTTCTAGTTTTATTGAGATATAATTGACATACAGCACTGTATAAGTTTAAGGTGTGCTGCATAATGACTTGACATACATATATTTCGAAATGATTACCACATCACTAATCTTATATATGATCAGATACCTTTGGGGTCTTCAGATTAGCATGGTGGATAAATTATCTTAGACTTGGTACAAGCAAAACCCTTTAGTTCTTAACCTGAAGAAGACTTGAATATCATTTTCAAGTAGGAAAGTTGGCATTAGGGTGGAAAGGGGCAGAGAGAGGACAAGACCTTCTGGGAGGGAAGGAGGGAGAAAGAGAGAAAGACAAGAAGATGAAAGAGAAGGAGAAGACAATGATGACAAGACAGGCTCTTAGTGCAGTGATGGCTGTGAACTAGACTACAGAGACTGGTGTTAGGAAAGCCCTCCATAATGAGGACAAGCAGGTTAGGGAGTGACATGCACTGTTAGACTAGATCTGGACCTGATTTCCAGCTCTAACCTTCTTTGTCTTTGAGTAGGGTTAGTAAGGGGGCAGCCCAGTTGCACTTGAGCTGTGTGTCTGGCTGCTCTTTCTCTCCACCTTTACATCTGTAACCTTTGTGTGATGGTGAAGGTCAGAGTCCCCCTTTTGTCCCCACAGGACTTTGATATTGATATCGTGGCCATGGTGAATGACACAGTTGCGACCATGATGACCTGTGGTTACGATGACCAGAACTGCGAGATTGGTCTCATTGTGGGTGCGTGAACACTGGCAGTGAGGGCCAGTGCTGGCCAATGGATGCGGGTGTGGGCTGCAAAGGGAGGAGAGCGGTCCATGGCCTGGAAGTTCCTTTGTACTTCATATTGGAAGATAATGATGGATTCGCTTTGGAGAGCTGAGCCAGGACTTGTGGAGTTGGGGGTGGTAGTGGACTGGACCATGTTGAGATACCCTGACACCACAGTGGAATAAGAGGGAGATGTGGGTTGGGGAGAGGACAGCACAGGTGGGCACTGAGCAGTTTCTTGTCTTGCCCAGGAATGGGCAGCAATGCCTGCTACATGGAAGAGATGCGCCACATCGACACGGTGGAGGGCGACGAGGGGCGAATGTGTATCAACATGGAGTGGGGGGCCTTTGGGGATGATGGCACGCTCGACGACATCCGCACCGAGTTTGACAAGGAGATCGACATGGGCTCCCTGAACCCCGGACAGCAACTGTGAGCAGGCCTCCCTGTGTGCGGTGGGCTTGGAGGGTGGGCTCAGGAACTGAGGTGGGGGCTGGGCAGGGCTGGGGAGCAGTTCTCATTTTTGCTTTGCAGTCTTATATCCCTGAAAGGTTGCCAAGGCACCCACTGGTTATGGGAATGTTGTGCTTATTACTACACACATTGTGACTATAAGTTGCTGAGAGGGCTTTTAAAAAATAGAGCAAGTGGGCAAACCAGATTATAGGTAATCATTTGGCTCTACCCTTTAGAACAGTCATTTTAGAAGGTCATATTCGAGTCTAAGTGTGTAGCCCTGATCTTGCTTTCTACCTTCAATTTGTAAGTTGTCCATAGAAACAGTTTGTGAGCCACATAAGAAAAGTCGTGTTGAGATGGCCAAGATTAGGGCCTCTGAAAGCTTCTTTTGTCCCTCCCACCACTGTCACTGCCCAGACAATGAGGCTCTGAAGGTTAGCTCCTGATTCCTGTCTGAGGCTCTGACTCAGACCTCTGGTAGAGCTGCCTGTGAGCCAGGCTGGACCCCACGGAGTCCCAGGGCCTCTTGCCCTAGCTGTAGGCAGACCCAAGGCCTGTGGAAAAGTTGGCTAAGGAGCCTCCTTGGCCACCTTCCCTGGACCTGTGGCCCAGCCAGGGTCCTGGGGTGGACTGGAGGAGGGGCTCCAACATTTCGGACCCTGAATGTTATACTCTTCAGCCTGGCCGGGCTTGGTTGTTAGTTACTTTTAACTTTACAAAACATTCTTTCACTCTCACAAACATTTGCCTAATGTCTCTATTAAAGATCTTGAAACACGGATTGCTGCAAGCTCTGAAGGCAATTGCAAAATGTTTTGAGCAATTCAGGCCCTCTCTGGTCTTCTCTTTGCTGTGGCTTGTTGCAGAAAGCTTCTAGCACAGATCTCTGCTTGGAGAGGAAAATCCAACCCTATAAACCAGCTCCATGGTGGGGAGCCTTTTGCTTTACAAGCAGAGTCTTTGCTTCCTCAAAGCATGGTTAAGTCACAAGCTTCTCTCACATGTTGAAACGTGAGTCCAATTACTTGTAACTTTCATAGGGACCTACTGGCTATGTCCGCCATGGCTGGTGAGAAGTTTATGGACTGAAAAGTCACTCATTCAATGCCTGCCTCCATGAATGAGGCACACCCAAGCCATTCCAAGGAGCCATATGTCCTTTGAAGTGTCAGAAGACAGAATTGCCAACCCAGCCTTGGCACCATGCCACTGGCTTAGCCTTAGACAAATCAAAGACTGGGAGGACATGTACCAGAGCGTCAGCTGTGGGAGTGCTGAAGTCATTGTTGGACTCAAGCGGGAACTTTTTTTCACTCTTTATATGTTTCTAAATAAAAATTTTCCAAATGTTGACTGAAATAAAGTGTTTTTAAAAACTGGAATAGAGGGGCCAGCCCAGTGGCGCAGCGGTTAAGTGCATGAGCTCCGCTGCGGCAGCCCGGGGTTCGCAGGTTCAGATCCCAGGTGCACCGACGCACCACTTGTCAAGCCATGCTGTGGCGGCGTCCCGTATAAAGTAGAGGAAGATGGGCACGGATGTTAGCCCAGGGCCAATCTTCCTCAGCAAAAAGAGGAGGATTGGCATCGGATGTTAGCTCAGGGCTGATCTTCCTCACACAAAAAAACTGGAATAGAAACTTATAAGTTGCCCGCACTTCAGAGCCGCACTGGCCCTCCTCCCCTGTCTCCCATAGAACCAGCTATTTCGGAGAAGGTGCGGTTGCAGACACATGAGTTCCTAACTGTTGAAGCCGGGCTGTCTCCCGAGTGTGCCCCTGCTGGTGCTTAAGCACTTTAAATGCACTCTGCTCAAGCAGTTTTGCCAGCTCTCCACTTGGCTCCAGTTCTGCCTTACCTGGCCTTGGGTCTTGAGGAAGTCACTTCCTGAGAGCCTGGCTTCCTCTCTTGTAGATTACACCAGGTGATGATGGACTCTCTTCCACACCCTTTGTCTAGACCTTCTTGGGGAAGCCCGGCCTCATTAGTTCCCACAGGCCCTGGGTGCCTCCTCTTCCTTGGACCTGGATCCTTTCTGATACACCAAGAAAGGGCCTTCTTTGCCAGAAAGAATTGTAAAGGCTTGATTTCTTCTGTCACCTGGTCTGAGCCAGATGGACTGTCTTCTAAAGAAAACAGTGTCACCTAGTGTTGAAAAAATAAATTACCTAACTGCCCACTCAGCTTGGGTGCCCGCCTCTGCCTTTCCAAAATATGCCTTTATCTTGTCACCTGCCTGCTCGGAAACTTCCAACATGTCTGGCTCCCAGATTCCCGAGACCACCTGACATTTAGAGCTCCTTCTCATCTGTCCCAACTTGCCTGTCTAATCTTGCCCATCACTCCTGGCCCTGGGTTGTTTTCATAGGAATCCACAAGAGGCCCTGCAAGGGGAGGGGCAGTGTGAGGTGAGTTGCTGGGCCTATGCCCCAAATTTAATCAGGTTGATCTTTTTCTCTTGTAAATAAATATTGAGGTTCTACATAAGCTTTCTTCCCCCCCGCAATATAAGCATCTTTTATTTCATCTGAGATGTAGTTCACAGATAGAATTTGTGTAGAAAGCTTTCATTTTCAGAAAGCATTTTCTTGCTAGAGAAATTTTTTTTTTTTTTGGTGAGGAAGATCAGCCCTGAGCTAACATCTGATGCCAATCCTCCTCTTTTTGCCGAGGAAGATTGGCCCTGGGCTAACATCCGTGCCCATCTTCCTCTACTTTATATGGGACGCCGCCACAGCATGGCCTGACAAGTGGTGCATTGGTGCACGCCCGGGATCCGAACCTATGAACCCCAGGCCGCCAAAGTAGAGCGCGTGCACTTAGTCGCTGTGCCACCGGGCTGGCCCCAAGAAAAATTTTTAAAAATCGCTACCCTACATGTAACCTACTTTACTTCAGATTCAGGCTGTTCCAGAATGTTCCACATTCCCTGGCTGTTTAGTTTGGCTGTTAAAGGACCATCCTTCTCCATGGTTCAAGGCCCACCCACCTGTAGAGACAGCCCAAGCTCCTCAGCTCCTCCAGCCCCTCCTAAGCTGTCACTTCTCCACACATCTCATTGCTCGTCAGTGCCACACAAGTTCACATTAATTGTGCATCAGCCTCACATGTGTACATGTCGCCTCCACAGAGAAGTTATGAGTTTATTGACAGCAGGGAATTTATTTATTTTTTGGTCTGTATCTCCTTGCAGGTTTGAGAAGATGATCAGTGGGATGTACATGGGGGAACTGGTGAGGCTTATCCTGGTGAAGATGGCCAAGGAGGAGCTGCTTTTCAGGGGGAACCTCAGCCCGGAACTCCTTGCCACTGGCCGCTTTGAGACCAAAGACGTTTCAGAAATTGAAGGGTAAGCTTCCGGGTCCCTCTCTGTTCACTGGGTCCCCAGAAGAGTTGGCAGGCAGTTGGGGAATGAAGAAAGGGTGCTGGCACTTGACCCTTCATGAGTGGACAGCAAGAAGTTCTCGCCCAATGTGGGCTGTGGCAGGCCTGTGGCTTGACTTTGCTTACCAGATAGTCTCCACTCTCGTCCGTTTGGAGCATGCTAACTACCAAGGTGACTCACAGTGCTGGGAAGGATTGGCGTTCCTGCCTGGCACGGCAGAGGGCGGGGAGGGCTTGGCTTACTACTGCTGAAGGTTCCAGTGGGCCCCTTCATGACTCACTTCCATCTACTTCTTTCCCTTCCCCTGAAGCTCTGACATTTCATTCTCTATTGGTGATTCTCCAAAGAGGCTCTATCCTGATTCTTGCATCATAACAGGAAAATATGTCCTTGGATGGCCCCGAGATTTACCCATTTAGTTCCAACAAGTAGAGCTGAGGCCTGCATTTTCACAGAGCGGCAGGGGTGGGAGTGAAGAGGGTCTAATTTTTGTTTTTCGGTTAACAATACGCAAAGAGTTGGGCCTAGTTTCCTGTTTTGAGACTTCCACTTGTTGCTTGGGGAGGCCCTTTGTTTCAGGGACCGATGGTGGAGAGGAGGTGATTTTGGTGCTGAAGGGAGCAGTGAAACTGTTCAAATGACTTGAAGTGGAAACTCTTGAGGGAGCTGTGCCTACTTGTTCACTCTGAGGGGATGAAAGTCCTTTTTGTGAGGCATCTAGTTCCCCTAAGAAGAGTGCTAATCCCATAGCATGAGCCCTTTGTCACCGTCCTTAGCACAAGTGAAAGCAGTGCGCACTGGGTTGTGAAATGCAGGAGACTCTGACTGCTGTACACAGAGCAACAGGGCGGGCCCCACGCTGGGCTCACAGTCAGAGGTGATTGTGGCAGGGACACACGTTCTCTTTACCCCAAGCAAACAAAGCACAAACTCACACCCACACAACTCAGTGCACAAAGCCCGGAGAACAAGGCCTTGTCCTTATATATTCTGTGTGTAAGAAATACTAGTTCTACTCACTGGGGAAAAAGGGGCAGCTGAAGCACTGTGTGTGTGTGTGTGTCTATGTGTCTGTGTCTGTGTGTCTGGGAGAGGAACCTCAGGTTGGCTCTGTTGTGTTTTCCCCCTCCTTGTTCTACCCCCCATAGGTGGGCAGAGTGAAGTGAGTGTCTGCCCCCAGTGGGAGATGGTGTGTGCTGGAGCTGAGGGGTTACCTTCTGAACCCACACACCACTCTCCCACTGGCCACAGTGGGTTGGACATGTGCCTACATGCTGTCTTTCTATTTCCCAGGGAGAAGGATGGCATCCAGAAGGCCCGTGAGGTCCTGGTGCGGCTGGGCATGGACCCGACACAGGAGGACTGCGTGGCCACTCACCGGATCTGCCAGATCGTGTCCACGCGCTCAGCCAGTCTGTGCGCGGCCACCCTGGCGGCTGTGCTGCAGCGCATCAAGGAGAACAAGGGCGAGGAGCGGCTGCGCTCCACCATTGGGGTCGATGGCTCTGTCTACAAGAAACACCCCCAGTGAGTCGGTGTTTGGGGACCCATAGTGATTTGGGGTCCCCTGACAGGCTCGAGAGAGACCCCAGTGACTCTATGGGCCAATTCCATTTTGTGTTCTGGGATGGTAGAAATGGACCGTGGAGTTGAAGGTCTCTGGAGAATAAAATGTTCCCAACCTGGCAAGGGGGAGCTGGGAGGGTGTTGTCCTTGGCACGGGTGGAAGCGATTTCTGAAGGCTGCCAATGACTGGGGCTCTACTCAGAGCTCTCCTGGCCACTGGGGGCTCTTTTGCCTCCCACTTGTTTAGGAGTTAGTGTTTCTCTCTACTTGTTTCTTTGAGTCTCTCATGATTCTTGATGGTCCCTTCAGGTGCTGTGTCCTCTGCCAGGGGCCCCCCAACCCAGTGGGTTACCAGTCTCTCTGGCTGACCTGGGCATTGAATTGATCCTGCTCTGCCCTCCACGTTTTGATCATAAGTGCCAAACTAATCAAATTTCAGTTGGGACCTGGAAGATATCTCTCTATTGTGCCCACTTATTGTCCCATCATTTTCACCTAATATGAGTGCCAGGTCGGTGGGCCTTCGTTAACTGAATTGGTTGATGTAGAGGGTCTCGGCCCTACCATTCCCTAGTCTCCTACTCCAGTGCTTCAAAAACGTCACAGGGCACATGAATCCCCTGGGGATCTTGTTGAGAGGCAGATTCTGATTCAGAAGGTCTGAGTTCAGCCTGAGATCCTTTATGTTGAACAGCCCCCTGTGATGCTGCTGGCCCACAGACCACACTTGGAGTAGTGAGGCCCTGGGGACCATGGCTCAAAGCAGCCACCACCTGAGAATTTCTGGCTGAACACAACTGTTGTCTTTAGCTGTTGAGATATCTTTGGGATCATTGGCAGAAATTGGCAAAAAAAAAGGCCAAAATCCAGAAGAGCATTTCTACTTTTTCTGTTTTGGATCTTTTTCAGGCAGCATCTAAAGGAATGAGTGATGAAACATGAAAGTAGTTGGTGTCAGAATCACCTGATTCCATTGGGCTCCAGCAAAGAGGCTGGTACATTGGGCAGAGGAGCTCTGGCCTGTGGGAAGAGGAGGTCTTGTGTGACCATATGCAGGGGACAGTGGCTTCCTGGAAGCGTCCTTTCCTTTCAGCAGAAGTTGAACCCCAGCCAGTGTGGTCACAGTTGAATGTCTAAGCTTTTATACAGTGACCCCTGAATTGAGAAAGAGTGGGGAGAGGATGTCCAGGGCAGCATCTGCACCTGCAGGTGCCTCCAGATGTTCCCCAACCCTTTGCACCATTGACCTAATTGTGAACACCCATCTCTTAACTCACCTCGGTGACTGCAGTTTCGCCAAACGTCTTCAGAAGACTGTGCGGCGCCTGGTGCCCAACTGTGACATCCGCTTCCTCTGCTCCGAGGACGGCAGTGGCAAGGGGGCAGCCATGGTGACGGCAGTGGCTTACCGGCTGGCCTACCAACACCGAGCCCGCCTGAAGACCCTGGAGCCTCTGAAGCTGAGCCACGAGCAGCTGCTAGAGGTCAAGAGAAGGATGAAGGTAGAAATGGAGCGAGGTCTGAGCAAGGAGACTCACGCCAGTGCCCCCGTCAAGATGCTACCCACCTATGTGTGTGCCACCCCTGATGGCACAGGTATGTGGCAGGGCCGCCACCCAGCACAGCACGCTGGGTCTTTGTCCTGATATTGATGCTCCGGAAGGACTCCCTCAGCCTTAGCATTGGATATTTGGACCAGAATGTTTCTTCAGCTACAGTAGTAGGGAATTCTAGTGTCCAGTAAGCTCAACCAAGGCATTTTTCTGCTAGAAACTGAATGGTAATGATAGTAAATACTTATTGAATATTTACTATGTGTCTGACACTTCTCTAAGCATTTTATACATATTAATTCATTTAATCTTCAACTGTTAACGGAGATTAGTAGTTCATTTTGTTTATTAACAAACTATTGTGTTTGGCACAAAACTGAGGCACAGAGAAATTCAGAAACTTGCCCGAGTTCACACAGCTAGAAAATGGCAGAGCTGGGATTCAAACCCAGGAATTTTGGTTCCAGGGCCAGGTCTTATAAGCCCTAGGTCAGGGGTTGGCAAACTAAAGCCCATGGGCTAAATCTGGCCCACCGCCTGTCTTTGTAAATAAAGTTTTATTAGTACATGGCCATGCCCATTTGTCTATGTATTATTTATGGCTGGTTTGCATTACCATGGCAAAGTTGTGTGGTTGCAGCAGAGACTACGGCTCACAAAGCCTAAAATGTTTTCTGCCTCGCCCTTTGCAGAAAAAGATTGCTAATCCCTGGTCTGGGTCTTAAACCTAAGAAATGGAGGTCTTTTCCCTATTCAGAGAAAACAATCATCGAACAGGCCATTGTAGCACATTTGGTACAGGTTCTAGAGGTAGAGATGGGGACTTGGTCCCTGCTCTACCCTCTCCTGGCGGTGTGGCCCTGAGCAAGTGACTCAGCCTTGCTCAGCCACGTCTTGTTCCACCATCAGAGGGGAACACAATGCCTCCCTCTCAGGGCTGCCTGAAGGTTGTCTGAGGACTGTGTATGAGACACGTAGCACATTGATTGCCCAACAAAGGAGACTTTTCTAATCCAAAAAGATATCCCTTCAATTTTCTTCAAAGAGTAGGACTGTGCTGTTCCTTCTCTATTCTAGAACCTAACATAAGGTGGCCTTTGATTTAGCATGAATGGTGTATTTGGATACTTTTGAGTTTACTGTATCACCATTTCCCGTGTTCTGCAGAGCTCATTGTGATTTCTGGGACCTCAACACTTGAACTCATTTGAGAACCACTAAGGAGCCAGCAGGTCCCTGGTCCTGGGATCTTATTTTCTTTACTATTAGGTGGAGCTCACAGTCCATCATCCCCGAGGTTGTCAAGGGGCTCCCAGGAGAGCTCTCCCTTAGAGGAAGGCCCTTTAGGCTGTCACTCTTTGCTGTGGTGAAGTGGTGATGATGCCCCAACTCATCATGTTCTCGGGTTTATTTTCCAGAGAAAGGTGACTTCCTGGCCTTGGACCTTGGCGGTACCAATTTCCGGGTCCTGCTGGTGCGCGTGCGGAATGGGAAGCGGCGTGGAGTGGAGATGCACAACAAGATCTACTCCATCCCACAGGATATCATGCACGGCACAGGGGACGAGGTGAGGCAGGCTGGCAGTACAGGAGGGGACCCCAGTAGACACCCACTTCTCACCTGGGAGGACAGCGCTTTCTCTGTTCACCCATGGTCCCAGGGAAGGCTAGGGGGGCCAGGGCCCTGGCCTGGTCTTTAATCAGGCGTGTGCCTGAGCTTGCATTTCTCCTGGGTGGAGCTCTCGAGCTCGCGCTCAGGCCCTGCCAGGGGCGGCCTGCCCTGACCAGGGCCCCCTCCCTCAGAGCCCGACTTCTCCCCGCAGCTCTTCGACCACATCGTCCAGTGCATCGCCGACTTCCTTGAGTACATGGGCATGAAGGGCGTGTCCCTGCCCCTGGGTTTCACCTTCTCCTTCCCCTGCCAGCAGAACAGACTGGACGAGGTAACAGTGCCTTCCTGGAGGGCTCTCCTAGGGGCTTTATTGACTCTAAACCAGCCAGAGTTTGGAGCGGAGGAGGAAGTCGAGCTGAGAGGAGCAAAAGAAAGGCATGAGTGACCAGTCGTGGGAGGGCGCTGTTGATGGGAGTGAGTAAGTCAGAGTTGGTGGAGGTTAAGTAAGTAACAATCTTTGGTATGATGATGATGCTTCTAATCAAAATATTAACAACTAACATTTTTTAAGAACTTTATGCCAGCTACTATTCTAGGCTTCCTATGTGCATTATCTCATTTAACCCTCACAGCAACCATATAAGGTAGGTGTTTGTACCCGTTTTGCAGAAAGAAAAACAAGGTCTACAGAGATGCCAAGTATCTTGCACCAGATCATACAGCTTGGGAGTGGCCAAGCCACAGTTAGAGTTCCAGTTTCCTGACACCTCAGCCCATGCTCTCAATTAGCTCACCTGCTCCTGAGGCCCTTGTTTTGGGCTCAGGACATTTTCGTTCCCCTCTTATTTTTAGATGCCCTGGTGCTTCTCTAGTCACATCTTGGCTTTTCATTCCCTTTCAACTTGCCTTGGATGAAGGAAGCGGGTGGGTGAAGATCCGGTGCTCCCAGGTATTCTGGACGTGGGTGTGTTGAGAAGTGTAGGAGAGCTGAGTAGGCGATGCTTGGGCTTGTGCTGGGTTGACAATTGGTATATTAGGTGTCAGGATACTGTTACTTAAGCAGTTGCTCCTCTGTGTCTCAATCGGTCATCTAGAAGCTTACATGCAGGGTTCAAGTGGACAGTGTGCTGTGGACGGAGAGGCCAGGGTCTAGAGGCATGGCTCCTGCTTTAGATGCTCACAAACAAACTGGACTGACGAAGCAAGCTCAAAAAAGCCAGAGCTGCTGTTTGGAATGTGGCACCAATGGGATGCTGGAGCCCTGAGGACGTGCAGGGTGATGTTATTCTGAGCACATCCCTGGAGGGCATGAGGGAGACTTGGATCATCCAAGTCAGAAGAGTGAGTTGATGGGGAAGAAAGGCAGGAAGGCCTGGCAGTGTGGAGGGGGCATGTAGGAGGACCACAGGGTCCCTGGAACGGCAACCGTCACGTTGCTCAGCTGAGTTTTGTAAATGCCTCCTGCTCCTTCCCTCTGAGAGTTAAATTCACCATGTGTACTAGTACAGTTAAGGTTTGGGTATGTCTTGCAGTGAAGGGGATGTCCTGTACTGCCTCATCAGTATTTCCCAGCACCTGTTAACCTTTGTCCAGTGTTACCAGTCCAGGGTTGCTCTTATCTTTTCCAATTTCTTCGTCTCAACACATTATTTTTTTCAGTGTCAATGCATTGGGTTTTCAAAGTCTTCTCATTTGGCAAAGGGAATTATCAAACACGGATAAATATTTATGTGATATTTAATGAAATATTACTTACTATAACAAAGACATTAGAAACAAACCTAATTGTTCAACAGAAATAGTAAATTATGAACCATTCACTGTCTCATATCAGCTACTAGTTCTTTGGAAGAAATTTCAATGACATGGGAAAATATTGGTGGTACAACTAAAATAATTTTTTAAAGAAAAGTATAATCTCTATAATATAGAAACATCCAAAAAATGCAATTAATAGGAAGATAAAAATGTAACACTCCAGTGTATATACTTCCAGGTTGTTCCCACTGAAATATTTTTAAAAAGACACTATCTTTTCATGTCAACATATATATATCTTTGTATATTTATCACGTGGCCCCAAGACACGTTAACTGTTTCTGCCTGAATTATAAGATTCCAGATCATCATTTTAGGTTTTATTCTTTTTTTTTTTTTTTTTTGTGAGGAAGATCAGCCCTGAGCTAACACATGCTAATCCTCCTCTTTTTGCTGAGGAAGACCAGCTCTGAGCTAACATCTATTGCCAATCCTCCTCCTTTGTTCCCCAAAGCCCCAGTAGATAGTTGTATGTCATAGTTGCACATCCTTCTAGTTGCTGTATGTGGGACACGGCCTCAGCATGGCTGGAGAAGCAGTGCGTCGGTGCGCGCCTGGGATCCGAACCCGGGCCGCCAGTAGCGGAGCACGCGCACTTAACCGCTAAGCCACGGGGCCAGCGCAGGTTTTAATCTATATGTTCTAAGTTTCCATAAGGACCATGTGTTCAGTCTAGAATTGTAAAAATTAAGAGCAAATGAAACAGAAGCTGGGTTCTACCTGTTGTTCTAACTCTCTGTAAGCCAGGTTCTGCTCTGGTGAGATCATCCTGTTGATGGGAAAACCAGCAGGTGCTGAGGCCTGAAGGCCTCAAGCCGCCTTGATTAGCTGGTGGTTTTGGGCAAGTCTCCCAGGCTGTTGAGGCCTCTCCTCATCTTATTATTAAGGACCACCTGCAATAGTGTTATTTACACATTCTGCAAACTTGAAAGTGCCCAATACAAAATTTCATCAGAGCCATGAAGCTAATTTGTGGACAGGAAAGTTGGGTGGAGATAAGCACACAGTTGTTGGATGTAGGTGTGTAAACCCAGACACTGCCAGATTGTACTTTGTTTTTTCAAGTTGCCCAGGTTTTCAACACAGTATGACACATCAGGTTGACTTGTGATACCAAACTCCTGGGCCATGAAATGCCAAGATGATGGGCATGAACAACCGAACAAGGCCTGGAGGAACCACACAAATGGGTGGATAGTGAGCACACAGCCCATTTATGGACTTTGGCCTCTCGGGAAGGGGGCCTGGGAGTCCTTGACACTCATTCCTTGAGGGGTGTGGCAAAGAGGGAATCAGGGAACACAACCTGGAACATTCCTCCCATGTTCAAAGCCACCGTGTGTCTGCTCCTCAAGGGCCTCGTGACATGGCGAAGGGCCGCACTGAAGATGAGGGGGCTTGGGGACTCCAGGGTGCTTGCAGCGCTTCCCTCACTGGAGTGGGGGGGAAGCCTAGATGTCACGCCAACTATAGGCACGGCGCTTGTTCACTCCATACTGGAGTTTGAAAATTAAGAGACTCACACTGACCCCTCTGATGTAAATATAGGGCAGGGACAGGGCAAACTGCTTTTCCCAGTGAAGGAAACAAGTGTGTGGAACTCAGTTCCTGGCAGGGGCAGTTGTGTGGCGCTCATGAGCCCATCCATTGGAGTCGGCGGGCCTGGGGGGGCATCCTGCTCCTCTCCTCCAAGCCACGGGCCTTGGGCAAGTTACTTCAAAGCTGCAGTTACCTGTAAAATTGGCCTGCTAATGATAAATATTTCACAAGGTTGCTGTGAGGATTAAATGATGTAACACATGGGATGTGCTTAGCCCGGTGCCTGGTGCACTGTGGCACTCAGTAAATTCAAGCAAGTGGAATAGGTTTCGAATCATTCGTGGGTGAGATGATTGGCTATTAAAGGGAATCTATAACCTGTGAGGTTGAGAACTAGGCACACAGCCAGCCCCTGGGAATGATACCTTCTCTGATACCCTCATATGTGCTTGTGTGCGATTTTTAGAGCATCCTGCTCAAGTGGACTAAAGGCTTCAAGGCGTCCGGCTGCGAGGGCGAGGACGTGGTCACCCTGCTGAAGGAAGCCATCCACCGGCGCGAGGTGGGAGCGACGTGGCCTGAGGCCTGAAACGATCTGTGTTCAGAAAGTGGGGGAGATGTTGAGGGCAGGGTGTTGGTTGAGGGGAGAATTAACTTAGTCCTCCAGCAATTCTCGAGTGTCTGCTGGGTGTCAAGCCCTACTCTTGGCAGTGGAGATTCCAGAATGACCACAACAAACTCTCGTTCTATAAACAAACCCATGAGCTAATGTCAGGTGCTATAGAGCTGTGAAGGAAAATGAAGTTGGGTGAGTGGGCTGGGGAAGGACACGCTTTTTTAAATAGCATAACCAGGGAAGGCCTCTGAGGGGGTGACATTTGAGCAGAGACCTGAGTGAAAAGAGAGAATGAACATTGCCGTATAAGGTAAGTTTTCTGTACATATATAAATCTCCCTTGCAAGTATCCAAAGGGAGAATATTGTGGTTCATTTGTGGACTGGGGATCTGCTTTTGCCCTCTCAGGAATTTGACCTGGACGTGGTCGCTGTGGTGAACGACACGGTTGGGACTATGATGACCTGTGGCTATGAAGACCCTCACTGTGAAGTCGGCCTCATTGTTGGTAAGGACCTGGGCTGTCCCTCCTGCATGGGGACCCACGACCTTGGATGGGTGGGAGGACATGCTGGGTGAGGCCCTGACGTCTCCGTGATTGGCAGGCACGGGGAGCAACGCCTGCTACATGGAGGAGATGCGGAACGTGGAGCTGGTGGAAGGGGAAGAGGGGCGGATGTGTGTCAACACGGAGTGGGGGGCCTTCGGGGATAATGGATGCCTAGACGACTTCTGTACGGAATTTGATGTGGCTGTGGATGAGCTTTCCCTTAACCCTGGCAAACAGAGGTAGGCACCCAAGTGCGTGTGGGCCCTGGTATGTGTATCCCAGAACTGGACAGTGACGAGTGAGGAGAGTCTGTACAACAGCAAATCCCAGGATGCTCATTCTCTAGAGATGTTAATAGACGAGATTTCCTTGGAATTGGTTTCTGTCAGATACCTCTGGAATGTTCTGGGTTAAGCCCTTTTTCCCCCTGCTGGACTGGACACTTTCAAATTCCAGTTTGGAAAACAAATCACAGCAGTTATATTGCAAGGAGAATTTCATAAAGGGTATTGGTTACATGGGTTTTAGAGGGATGAAAAGACAAAAAGGAGACACCGAGGAGCACAGAGTCAATATGTGTAAGAAGCAGCCACCCCCCAGGACTGGGAGAACAGGCAGGGGAGAGAGAGTTAAAACCTAGGTCTGGGACTGTGAGGAAAAACACATACCCAGTTGAACCACTTGCTCCCAAAATGCGCTCAAACCACTGAGTAGTCACGTTCAGTTCTAGTGGCTGGACAGGATCTCCAGCTGGCACTAGTTACTTGAGTGATAATGATTAGGTTGAAGAGAAAGCATGCCAAATGCCTACTAAAGTTAAGGATTAAGACTCGGCATCCTACCCTTCTCCTGGAAGTGTGGTGGGGTGTGGATTCCTTCTTGAGGAGTCAGGAATAAGCCTTGGAAGGGAAATGAGCCCAGAAGGTGGGGCCAACCCCCGGGAACCCTGTGAGCCTCAGGCACTGTGGTCAGCTTCACCAAAGCCTGTGGCTCAGCATGTGGACACCAGGGATCCTGCCCAAGTGAATCAAGTAGCATTTCCTCTCCCACCAAGAGGAATCCACATGCCCTCTACTTTCTAATGCATTAGGTGGGACTGAGCTGGTCTGTCCTGTCTCAGAACATCCCACCAGCTGCCTACTTAACCTCCACAAACATTATCCACATTGCAGGTTCGAGAAAATGATGAGTGGCATGTACTTGGGCGAGATTGTCCGTAACATCCTCATCGATTTCACCAAGCGTGGGCTGCTCTTCCGTGGCCGCATCTCAGAGCGGCTCAAGACAAGGGGAATCTTTGAAACCAAGTTCCTGTCTCAGATTGAGAGGTGAGAATTCAGGGCCCAGGTTAGGGTGGGCCTGTGTCCTCCTTTTCATGGTCAGGCGAGCTGAAGGATTTCCATAGCTCACGTAAGATCAGGGTGTGCCCTACGTAAAGGTTAGTTTAGTGGCTAACACATTCATATGTATAGTGTTTATTTAAAGTACCTTATGGAGAGTTGGCACTTTAAGGGAAACATATAATGTTCTCATGAAAAATCATGCTAATCTGGCATGAGCCCATACAAAGTAATATTGTTGGTTTTTAGACCAAATATCAAGGTTGGAAAGATACCTGCTCATAAGATGCAAATTGGAATGCACAGAGGAGGATAACCTATGAAAGTACTTATGCTTCACTGGAAGGTTCTTCTTAACTGCTGGCTGCAGTAATAAGGCAACTGAGATTGAGTGAAGGTGGCATGTCAGGCAATGCAGAAACAGGCCATGCAGTGGACGGCTCATTAAAGTAAAGCTTCCCCCTCCAGTCTAATGGTGGAGAAGTCAGCTCCAAATTAGAATGGTGAATTTCAGAGCCCCTTAAAAATTAATGCTGTGTCATTCCTCAGGTGTATAGAAAAACAGGGGCTGGACGATTGCCATAAGTGGAGCCCTAGGCTGTCTGCACCAGTGACTAGCAAGAATATGTTCTACCATGTCTGTTTATGTGCGAGAAGATGATTCCAGGCTTCTCAGATAATTCTCTATATAATAGGGTTCATTTTCTCCCTACAGTTTTGTTAACATTTGTTTCATAAATAGTGCACAAGTAGATTTCAGACCAGCCCGGGGGGGCAGTAGAAATAGAATGGGATTGCATGTTGGTTGGTGATGCTTGTCCTGCTGACCCGTGAGCAGCAATGAGAGAAGGGACATGGACCAGCTTTGCAACTGCCACATACTAGCATTGTCTTGTCTTTATTATTTCCAACTGAGTGGAAGACAGAGACAGTGCATTTCCTTTTGTTTTGAGTATCGGTTTTGGGTAGTAATGCCCGACCTCGCCTGGGCAAAGTGGAATAGGGTGCTGTTTCTTCATATTCCTGTCATGCTCAGGAAGAGTCTGTGTGGTCCAGTGGGATGAGCACTGGTTCCTGAACTCAGTTCAAGAACGAGAGCCACCTCGCAGGGCATTGGCCTTTACATCTAGCTTCCCGATGGCCAGGCCCCACGGAACCTCTCCTGAGAAAGGAGCCAGGCCCCTGGAGCGCTGAGCCACCAGCCCCTCTTGGCACATGACTGACCACTTGATGTCTCCCTCCTGCCCCAGTGACTGCCTGGCCCTGCAGCAGGTCCGCGCCATCTTGCAGCACCTGGGGCTCGAGAGCACCTGTGACGACAGCATCATCGTCAAGGAGGTGTGCACCGTGGTGGCGCAGCGGGCAGCCCAGCTCTGTGGTGCAGGCATGGCAGCTGTGGTGGATAAAATACGAGAAAACCGTGGGCTGGACACCCTCAAAGTGACAGTGGGCGTGGACGGGACCCTCTACAAGCTACATCCTCAGTGAGTGCCTAACAACCCTCCGTCCTGACAACCCTCCGTAGCCATCTTTCTCTCTCCATCTCTTTGTTCCTTCCTTGTTTTCCCTTCTCTCTCTCCACTTTAGAGCAAATAATCAGGCATTCCAGAATGTATATAATGTGTATACTTAGATTAAAGATTAATAATCAGAGGTAGACTGGTGTTCCCCACCAGCTTGGAGCCCCCTGTGAGCCCCTCCCCAATTGCACCCCTATCTCTTCCTGCCAGGGGTAAGTGCTCTGGTGACGCCATCCTTTCTCCCCATGTATCTAGGAATGCATCGGCATTGTTTAGTTTTACTTAGTTTTGAACTTGCCATGAGGGGAATCATATGACATCTCTTCTTTTGTGATTGGCTTTTCTCACACAGCATTTATGGTTTTAAGATGCATCCGCATTGAAGTATGCACCTGTAGTTCATTAATTTTCAGGGCTGTATACGTACCTTCGAATGAGTATGCTATAGTTTATTGTATTGCTAATGGATATTTGGGTTATTTTTAGGTTTTGACTATTTCCAACAGTGCTCCTGTGAACATTCTAGTGAATGTATGCTGGAACTCTGGAGCAAGATTTTTTCTCCAGTCTAGAGTGGGGACTGGCAGACTACAGTCACAGCTGTTTTCGTGAATAAAGTTTTCCTGGGATGCAGCCATGCCCACTCGTTGATGTATTGTCCATGGCTGCTTTCAGCTACGATGGCAGAGTAGTCACAACAGACTACAGGGGCCGCAAAACTGAAAATATCTACTGTCTGGCCCTTTATAGAAAAAGTTCCCCCCTTACTCCCTAGTATGAAAGTACTGAATTCTCTTTTCTTTTACTCTCTTCTCTGTCTTTCTCCATCTGTCTTCTCCTGTCTCTCCTCTCATCACCATTTCTCTTCCCTCTTCTCCACTCATTTGCATTTGTCTTGAACAAATTATTTTGAAGTCAGGAAGTGCCCCAATCTCTTTCCCTTGAAAGCTTTTCAGCTCAAAGTTAAAAGAATAGAGCTGTGTCCCTGGCCTGGGCACCGGAATGAGGATGGGGAGACTCCTCGATTGAATTCTTACCTGCTCTCACCATGATGATGTCAAGGAGCTAAGAGACTTGCCCAGAGTCTACATAGTTAGTGAAAAGAGTGGACCTTGAAAAGTTCCAAGTCCCTTTTCTTGATGATTAGTGTCCCTGTGAAATAGGAGCCTCAGTCCCAGATGAGGATTGGGAGGGGGACAAGCCGAGCCATGGCACTGGGGCTTGGTTTCGCGGGTGGGGAGGGGCATCCGGACACTGCTGTGTTGGGGCAGATGGTGACCACCTCTTTCTCTAGTGCTCGTGTACCATATTGAAAAGATCTGTGATCACCGTAGTGTCCCAACAGCAGCCCCCTAAGCCTGCTCCTTTTGCCATTAATGCATTTTGGATTAGACATGGGTCTCATGTGAGTCAATACCTGTGGAAAATAGAACATCGTATGCGTCGGGCTTGGTCTTTTCCTGCGGAGTTTACGAACAGGTTATATACACTTCTGCAAGGCACACTGTGGCATCCAGGACTGCTGAGTTTCTCTTTCATTGATTGGTTTTAAGAGCACAATTTCCCAGACTCTCTGACAGTTGTCCCACAGTTGAATCTTAGCTCCCCACTCTCCTGCCATGACATAGAATCTGGGCATGTTGCTAGCCTCTCCAAGCCTTGGTTTTCTGATACACAATGCATAGTAAGTGCTTAATACATGGTAGCTGTCATCCTCTTCCTCAGCTTAATTATTCCTGGGTTTCCAGCATCACTTCTTAGGGTCTCATCTCCAAGGACACAAATCAATCATGACTAAGGTGTTTTTTCTGTGTCTTCCTCCCGACTTTTCCAGCTTTGCCAAAGTCATGCGTGAGACGGTGAAGGACCTGGCTCCAAAATGTGACGTGTCCTTCCTGGAGTCAGAGGACGGCAGCGGGAAGGGGGCGGCTCTCATCACTGCTGTTGCCTGCCGCATCCGCGAGGCTGGGCAGCGATAGAGTCCCTGAAATCAGAAGGGACTTCCTCCGGTTCCCCCTCTTCCCTGCTTTAAATTATAAGATGCCAACCCCGATGTCAGAGACAGACCCCTTAGCTTTTCCTTGGCAGAGAGGACCCTATCGGATTGGGTTTTATCTCGGTGTATACTCAACTGTAGAGTTCGGTGCCCAAGCCTTGGTCTTCCTGAGATCAATACAGTTTGAAGTAAGGATTTGCTCACACCCATCACAACCGTTCCCATTGGTTCTCTTAAAACTTAAAACAAATTGAACCTTTAGTAATCCCCTTGGCCAAATTCCACAACCCTGTGTAATCCTACAGGGGACACAGGTTCTGGCGGATGCTCTTCCTGGAGTGAAAGCATGCTGAGTCTGAGCAAGCAAAACCAAAGCCACGAGTTGATACTTCCTGCCGAGTGGGCTTGTCACATCTCCTTGTGGGTTCATGAGTCATCCATGAGCAACAGACCTCTAGGGGAGGGGGAGCTTTTTGGTCCGTTTTAAAAATTTTTACTGCAGAAGTGGAAACACTGTATTTTCATTTTAACTTATGTTTGAAATTTATTTAGCTCATGAAGTACATCTGCTCCTTCATCTTGATACTGTATGTAATGATCAATTGTATGTTATGTATTTATATGTGAATTGTTATGTATATAGATACACAGGGTCTCTTCAGACTCAGCCTCACTAGTAGATCAGTGTAGTTAAAGGATGGAAGGTGAAGATACTGAGTGGTTGCTAAAAATACCTCATTCGCCTGCGGGAAGAGAAGGGAATCCTCTTCAGGGTGAGTGAATGGCCAAGTAGCTCCTTCTCGGCTCCTCCTTTCCCTCCAGACTTGGAAACTTGGAAGGCAGCGGCGGGGGATGAAGTGAAGGAGGCTGGGCCTACGGATTGAAGAAACCACAGCAACTGGCTGTTCTGTCTAGAGACTTTCCTGGGGCAATATTACATGGGATGTTAACCAAAGGAAACGGAAATCATTTCAAACAGACTCACTGCTTAGGAATCTTCATTCTTAGGGCAGCCAGTAGTATTTTAAAGCTCTCTCACAAGATAAAGGAAGCCACCAAAAACATTTTTAAAAAATTGTGTCTAACTCTTGATAGCAAACCAAAACAAAACAATGAAACAATCAAACAAAACCTCAGGGACAACACTTTTGATGGATTTGTCCCCTCCTAGCAAAATTGGTGTGTTTTGTAAATGTTTTGCAAGAAGCGTTGGCTGAAGGCTTCTCTAGGCTGAGCTGTTTTTGTCCCCAGTATTTATATTTTAAACTTCTGGGGTGGGGGGTGGGGGAGGAGTGGCATAAAATCTTCCATACCCTCCTTTTCAGGAGTGCAGTTAATTCTGAATCTGAAAGCCCACTTCTGCCCTAAAATATGTACACCCACATGCATTACACCTGAATAGCACACGATAAAGAGGGAATGCCCTTGTAACATTATAGAGTAAGATACAAAGATCAAAAGAGGAAGATGGAAAGACACCACTCAATGGCACCCAATTTTTGCACATTTATCAAACTTATACTGAGAACAGTGTCTAGATTTGTGTATCACTAAAGGATGGCCAAGAAATAGAGATAAACTTTTAAACTTGGAAATTAGGCACCATTTTTGAAATTGCACACTTTTTAAAGGTAGAGCTGTGTGTGTAGCTATTAAATATGTGGTGTTGGTTTCCAAAAAGGAACACTGGCAACTGCATTTTGGATGTCTGTGTTCCCACAATTAGGTGACAGTTCCGTGCTGACGCTGCTTTGCCTGATGTAAATACAGTGACTCTCATCTCAGTCTTTGGGATGTTTTGAATAGTGGATCATCTCAAATCCTCACACTCAGTCTAGTGAAGATGTTGTCATGTACAATAAAGAGCTAGTTGAATTAACTATGTGATGTTAACTATTAATAAATTTTAACATTTTTCAAAATATTCTATGTGTGATTCCTGAGCATTTTCAAGAGGACAGTCATCTTTTGGGGATATTAGTACTTCCTGGTCAGTATGAATAATTTATGGATGTCGTGATTTTGACTGTATGTGCTTGACAGGCATGTGGCCAAGATTTGGCCTTGACCCCAGATATTTCTCTTCCCAGAAACTCGGGTCCCACTGCAACTGGAAGATGACTTTTCCTAGGCCATCATTGATGTAGATTTCAAGCACCACTGAAGAACCACGGGTGGCCCTGCAGTCTACTGTTTAAGTGGTTTGGCTGAAATGTAGCAGAACCCTCATGGGCTCTGGTTGGTCTCTATAGGCATATGTGATTCACACTCGGGATATACAGTCATATGCTACATAACGACATTTCAGTCAATGATGGACCACATATACAATGGTGGTCCCATAAGATTAGTACCATAGAGCCTAGATGTGTAGTAGGCTATACCCTCTAGGTTTGTGTAGTAAGTACACTCCATGATGTTTGCACAATGACAAAATTGCTTAACAACACATTTCTCAGAACATATCCTGGTCGTTAAGCAATGCATGACTTATATGAACATCTAAAAAGCACTTGCCTCTGTCTTAACAAGCAAATCACAAACCTGGGAAATAAATTCCTCACAAGTCCCTAGCGACACCTACTGACGTTGACATGGCCCTGCCTAACAGTAACAGGGAGGAAGCTGACCAAGGCTAAGAGGACACCAGAAATAGCCAAAACAAAATTTGGCCTCACTGGTGGTGAAGAAATTCAAATTTGACCCTATTTTTCCAAATTCAAATTGGTGAAATTATGGGAGTGTTCTCATATACTATTGGTGGGAGTGCAAGCTGGTACAAGCATTTAGGAGGGAAATAGGCATATGCATCAAAAGCATGTTTTGTGTAATTTTCTAGAAATTTGTGCAGAAGAAATAGACATAGGTTGGGGACTAAGATTTAGCTTTAATGGTATTGGCTATTGTCTGGCTTATAATAGCAAAGGAGGGGACCTGCGTACGGTGGGTCTGCCACTCAGTATCAGGGTCCAGTCAGGAGGACAATTCGCTTCAGTTATTTCAGAGATTTTAACACAGGGACTTGGTTATAGAGGGGATGGAAGAGATGAGAAGCCAAACAAGTGATCAAGAGATTAGCAATATCCAAAAAAAGGAAAACAAAAAAAAGCTGCTTCTATCCCACTGGCTGGACTAGAGTCCAAAAGCTGGAGAGGCGGTGCTGAGCTAGAACCACAGTAAGGGGGTGTTCAAATACCCTGGCTTCTCCCTCCCACTCTAGTTTCCTGCGGTGTCTCCCATTGACTGGACGTAGCAGGAAGTGAGCTGGCAAAGGGAGCCTGGAAAACGGCGTACCGGTGAGGCCCAGCCAGAGCAGGGGAGGGCGGGGCCTGGGGCTGAACAAGTACCTGGCGTGGGCCCCGTAAAGCCGATACAGTGTTACAGAAGGATACCTAATATCACAGAAAATGTTGACAGAAAGCTGCTTCATGCTGAAAGTATGTTACAGAGCAGTATAGTATGATCCTGCTTTTGTTAATAAATTATATATGACATAAGAGGTATGTGTTTCCCTGAATGTCCCTTCTGCCCTGCTGGACTGTGGGCACAGATGAGGGCCCCACCTCTGTGCTAAGGGCCCCACCTCTGTGCTAAGGGCCCCATCTCCGTTCCTCGGCAGCTGCCCTCAGAGTTCCCCTTCTGGGAGCTGCCACCCCCGCCGGGCTCTGGAGCGGCCGCTCTGCTCGGGGCAGCTTCGGTAGCACCCGCCCTCCCTAGGTCGCTGCTGTCCCTAGGTCGCTGCTGTCCCACCGCAGAGCCTGGGGAAGAACTGCTCTCCCTTTTCGCACAGGGGCTCCCAGGTGGACATAGACCCTTAATGCCCCACAGATTATAATATTGGGCAAGACGCTCAGGAGGGAATTTTCTCAGTGTATAGTTTAAAACGGTTCTTGCACTTGGAAGCCCTCGAAGCCCCTGGGCCACCTGTGCACACGGGTTTCCCTCGGGCTGCCTCCCTGCCCAACTTGCACCTCCTCCGTGGGGTCCCTGACTGCTGGAGAAATCCATTTCCTTCAGACAAACGGACAGTCTGCACTCAGGTTGCTTGCAGCTTGGAAATAGCTTTTCCAGCTTCTGCTGAGCCCATCAAGCCTCTCTTTTCTTTCTTTGTTGCTTTGTTTTCTTTACTTTGGGCCCCAGGTGCAGAAGGCTAAATTACTCCTCCTCCTCCTCGCTTCAGAGCCTTTTCTAATCTTTGCAAGGACCTTTCTTGCTTTTTAAATTTTCTTATTTCCTTTTATCCTCCTTCCCAGTCTGTAGTCATGATCGGCAACCATATTGTTGTATTGATGTGCAACTTATTTGTGTGTCTTTGTGAAGCATATGTTATTTTGTCTGCATGCTATTTTAATTTACAAAATGCAATTGGCTAAAAGCCACTTGTTTTTTTCCGCTAAGCGCCGTGCTTTTAAAGACCCATAGATGCTGCTATGTGTACATCTAATTCATAACTTCCAATTACTGCATCATATGCCATTGTGCCCATGCGCTCTCTTCCCACCCACGCTCCCAGTGATGGACATGTGGATTGTCTCACCTCAGCCTACACAAACATCATGGCAGTGAGCATCTCTGTACATGTCCCCTTCATCATCTCTGTGCTAATCTCCCTGGGCATGTAACCAAGAGGGGGAGAGCTGGATGGTAGTGTGTGTATTTACTTAATTTGACTCTACTGCCAGCTTACTTTTCTGAAAGGGTGCCCCCGCCCCCAAAACCCCCAGCAGTGATTTCTGGCAACACTCGGCATTATCTAGTTTTCTAATTTTTATAAATGTGCTGAGTGTCAAATGAGATTGTGTGGTTGTTTTAATTTACATTTCTCTAATTATTATGCGTTTGAGGATCTCTTTGTATGTTTCTTAGCCTTTTAGGTTTCCTTCAGTTAATTGCCTGTCCATATTTGCTGATTTTTCATCCAGGGTTCTTTCTTTTTCCTTGCTGATTTGCTGGAGTCCCTTCTTGCTTTAGATATTGCATGCATCTTCTCCCAATCTGTTAATTTGGTCCACGGCACCCTTCGTTGACTAGGAATCCTTTCTTTTGGTGTAATCAAATCACCGATCTTTCTTGCTTTATGGTTTGTGCTTTTGGCCTTTTTCACCCTTACCCTACTAACATTGTCTTCTATTAATTTTATTTATAGTTTTACTTTTTAAAGGGTCAATGTAAAACCCTTAGGGAGTCCATCTTTC